AGAGAGAGAGAGAGAGAGAGAGAGAGAGAGAGAGAGAGAGAGAGAGAGAGAGAGAGAGAGAGAGAGAGAGAGAGAAAGCGTATGCTGACACTATCGGACCGAAGAAACCACCCTTATCAATGGCCAACATGAATCCGGAAGCGGGGCGACATGCACAAAGGACAAGAAATATGGCAGTGTATCTTTCCATGTTCCGGCGGAAGATTCATTCCCATTTTGCTCATACGTTGGGTGGTGGAGAGTGAAGGGCCGTTACTCCGCTACTTACCAAATGTGCAAAATGAGAATGAATCAGGTAAGCACGTAACGCATCTCTGGAACCTTTCTTTTTTTTGTTTTGGAGAATCTCTGAACAAATGAGATTGAATCCTGCGCTTGAACATGGAAAGATACATTGCCATATATGTCTTGTGTGCATGTCGAGAGTAGTGCAGCGAGCCCGTTGGTGAACAGCACCGTTGAGGTTCTCTTTTTTTCTTTTTTTTTTTTCTTTTTTTTTTTTAATTATTATTATGAACTCCCTGGGCCTGGTCAATCAATCATGATGTCTTGAGGCCGTCACCCTTTCAAAGAAGGAAGTGGCTGTCAGTTCCGCTGATTTTCTTCCTTTACGTTTTTTTCTTTTTATTAAAAAAAAAAAAAAACTCCAGGAAAAACGGCTGTCAGTTCTGTCGTTTTCTACTTCAGAAGTAATAAGAAGAGAACGTTGAGAGATCGCGACCTCCATCATGACTGAATCTGGCCTGCAAGAACCCTTCCATACAGACTGCAAGAACCCTACCATACACACACAGTGTTACGCGGACTACAGGTTTTACTAAAAGCGTTCACGCCAATGCGCAGCCTCCAAAAAACATTTGGCTGCCCGTTTCTTATTTTACGCGAGCAGGGGGCCGGGTCTACTACCGCCCCTCACAACTTTTTTTTTCTTTTCGACCCCCATTTTTGGAGGTGCGCCGCATGCAGTGCGCGCGCGTCGTGCGGGATGCACGGTGCGGCGCACGTGCGCAGTACAGCGCATCGCCATGCGCCGCATGTATGATCTGAAGTGAGCTCGTATCTGAACTGTGTTCTTGGTTACTATATCTCTGAGTTTTGAGTGGGCGCTTGTCGCCAGTTTGCTGCTCAACCTGTTTACATGCATGTGGAGTGTGAACGAAAGTGAGTCTGATTGCAGTATGTTGCACTGAAACTATACTGCAATGAAACTATGTTATTATGTTGCTATGAAACTGTGTTATCAACATTCGTTGGCCATTCAGCCAGCAGGGTATGAAGTGATCCCCTGCAAACGCACACAAGGCAGACGCTCACGGGGGAGGGAGGGAGGGAGGGAGGGAGATCCAGCCAGACGGACAAACAAATGGCAAGAGAGACAGAGAGATATAAGGCAGAAGACTAGACAGGGAGGCAGAGAGAGAGGGACGGAAGCAGGCAAGCGGCGAATGCTGTAGTTCATAAGGAATTTGACTACCTGACAAACGTTTCTGCCCAAGCCTGTGCCGTGTGTAGAGTAACATGCTTGAAGTTGTGGCGGTGCATTTCCACTCGATCAGCCTCTGGCATTGTGAGAGCCTCTTCTATTGCCGATGCAACATCACTCACATTCCACGGGTTCACTAGAATGGCACCAGCTCCAAGTGATTGTGCTGCTCCGGCAAACTGCAGACATTTAAAACAAAGAGCAAAACATACAATCTGCTCAGAAAAGCCACGGGCATAAATGCCATGAGATAACAAGATAGAGCATGACACACAGGACGAGCGAACGAGCATGCATATGATGTGCACATGTGCATGCGTGCGGGCAATCGTGCTCATGTGCATGCACACATATGCGAGCAAGTTCTCATAAGTGCATGTGTGTGCAATATGTGCACACCTGTTTTCGTGGGTGAGAGATGGAATGAAAGGTATCCCGTGCAGTAACGATATCAGTCACATGCAAACACCCCTCCGCACCCCCATACCCCTCTCTATCCCCTACTGAAAAGTTTCTGAAGCTTCGAGCAGTAGTCAAAGGAGAATTTGAATGGGGACCCCAAAAAATAAGGTGAACTCCAGGGTTGCACCCCTGCCGACCGCTGACCCCGACTGCAGACCCCCACCGCCGACCGTATTGCAGCCGACCAGTAGGGCCAACTGGTCGGCGGTCTGCCGACCAGTCAGAAAACAACCATCCACCTGAATGGGGACCTGGGCCACCCCGGTGACTGGCAGGGGCCCGGGGGAGGTCCCGGGCCAGCCTGGCCGGGCGGGGCACCCGGTTGGGGTCCGGGCCCCCCCAGCGCACTCACCTGTCGGGGGATTTCGG